TAATATAAACAAGAAGTTAATTTCTCAATAAAAAGAAAGATTTATGGAATACATTTTATTTCGAAATGAACTTTGTAATGATTTAATATAACATTAAAATCAGTTGCATGCAGCCAAATAAAAAACTTATTGTTATATCTGCGCCAGTGAAAAGTAGACCGAATATGGCTTTATGTAACAAAAGTAATTAGTAATACTACACCAAAACCATTGAATATATCTGAAAGAATTGAAAAGGAGCAAAAAATCGATATCTGTGTTTAATCCTTAACACACAATGGCAGTCGTCCAAGAGAAGCGGCGCTTAAAAACACGAATAAAATTGTTTTTCTGAATTTCTCGATTAACATTGTTGCTAAGCTAAAGCAGAATTAATTCTAAGATTTCTGATATGTATATGAGTCTGTATCTCTCAGCCTGACAAAAGTTCGTACCACCGATGATATTGAGTAGAAAAGTTCGATTTTGACGGCAGCCAGCAGTTCTTCGGGACCAACAGGCGCTGCACGTGAGCAGTATATTCTATTTGTGATAGAATTCAAAGATTTTACACTATTATTTTGTTTCGGCTGAGATTATTTGCTAGGATATAGAGAGATTCTTTGGCCAACAATTCGTATTCTATTGAATCATGATCTATGACAAAAAGTCACGGGATCCAGAATATATGTGCACAATCGTGCACACGAACGTATCTGATCCTTTGAGGACTTATGTACGAAATAGTAAGATTACGTAAGATCGTGTCTGATTTTATATGATCATATACGATCTTACGTATGACATACGATTCCGATTGCTATTTTGCTGGTTTCTCTCGCTATTCTGGTTTTGCTCTTCTTGTGCGTTTTTGCCGCAAATCAGTCGCCTCACTCTACCTTTTTATTAACGTAAATCTTTTTCAAGAGAATCAAAAAAGAGAGCATCACAAAAAGATGTAGATTGAGAGGAGAAAACGTTCTTATTTCGTGGACTTTTTCGTTTTTCAGCAGCACAACTTCATCGAACGAAAGTTACAAATTTAAACAAAAATAAAATAGAATTTTCGTCGACATTTTTCACACTCCTCTTCTGTTTCCACATTGATTATGTCACTGAATGTTTTATTCATTATTTTCGCAAATTAATCTGTAAACAAAATTATGACGAACCGAAACATGAGTACGAGAAACAGTTCTTTCAAGAGTAAGTCTGTAAAAATGCGTTTTCTCCACTCGGGCATTTTCTTCGATGCGCTGCTATGATCCACAGAGCACTGATTCATCCCAACCCGACTGTCGAAACTATGCTCACATGAAACATCGAGTGCAAGTCTTGTCATTAAACTAAATAAGTCCCTATCTAGCTCAAATTAAAAATACACTGGTCGTAAAGGGAGATCTTTTATTCAATTCTGTCTTCTATATTCTTCTACCAATGTGTTGTGCAATCGAAGCTCTGTCGAGTCTACATTATGACCGTCATTTCCAGTTTTTTCTTTACCTCAACATTACGCTCTGACAACTGAGCGGACATAAATTCTAAAGTGCGTTACACAGAAAATTTCACCATTTTTTCAGCTAGAATTTTACCTCTATCTGCAATCACATCATGTAGGATTGACGCTGCAACCAACGCCAATGGAAGACGCATTTCATTTATTTGCGACAACTAAACATCATGTAAACATTATCTTCTCGAATAGGTAAAAGTTTAATAAACATAAGAGTGTAACAGCAGTGATAAAATGAAAATAACTGTTATTTCATTCTTATGTTTATGGGCACCATGCGTACTTAATTGACGCAAATCACTTCTGTATTCACTGTCTTCTCTTCTATGCACAGATTTATGTTCTATATAAATGTGGGATAAATCGCATTGTATCTTCCACTCGCTCTAATGAATATGATATATTTAGCTATTTTATCATTGATTGTCGTGGTATCTAGTGTGGATGCTCACTATTTACTACACTCATGTGAAACTTCGAGCGCAAGTCTTGTCATCAAACTAAATAAGTCCCTATAATCATTACACTCAAGTTAAAAAGGCACTGATCGTAGAGGTAAATCTTCTATTCAATTTTATGCTTTATTAGTTGTATTCAGTTTTAAGATATAGCATAAAAGTACTGTCACCAATTAATTCATGATATCGCAAAGAAAGAAATCTTTGTTTATTGTACATCCACTATTTCTTTTTGTAAAAGAAAAAACTAGATATGTCTGTAGATCTATGGTACGAAGATTTGAGTATGCTAGTAAGTTTTTGTGTTTTAAGAACTTTTATAGTTTTTCTTGTCTTTCTTTGTTTAACCGTTAGATGCGATCTTACCGCGCCAGGTCGAGTGTTTTTTCTTTTTGAATCGATGACCTTTCATGTATTTTAGATGACATCATTTTTATGTTTCCTTGGTGGTCTAATTCTTTTTATCAACGCTTACCATGTTAATTCCTTGGGAGATTTCATCGGAAGCGGCGAACATTCAGACGTTCATCTTGACCGAACTAAACGGCTCACTCCCCAGTCCCTCGAAGATTATGCGTTAGAATTGGGTAGAAACTTAGAAGTACGACCAGAAAACATTCATAAAGACAAAACTCTGGTAAAGCTTGTTTTCGACAAATTTAAACAGAAACACGGCCGCCGTTATCAGAACTCAAGTGAAGAAGATCGTCGACGACACGTTTTTAGTCAGGCTTTGGCACATGTTTTAAATGTTAATTAGCAAAACCTGTCACATACGTTGGAATTAAATCATTTATCAGATTTGACTGAACAAGAATTTAATCAGCAGAAAAAGGGTCAGTGGTCCAAGACTCTTTTTGTACTTGAAATAACGTTCTTTTTTACTTTTTGGTTCTCTTTTTTAGGTTTTATAGCTAACCCTTATACGCGAAACCGCCGTCAAGTCATCACGAAATCGATCTCGAAATCGCTGCAAACTGTTGCACCTCCGACTTCATTAGATTGGGTGGTACAAGGTCGTGTAACTGCAGTAAAAGACCAGGGTCAATGCAGTGACTGTTATGCATTTGCCACCACGGCAGTTATGGAGGGACTAGTGGCAAGCAAAACGGGGAAGTTGTTGAATTTAAGTTCACAAGAAATAACCGATTGTTCACAAAAATATGAACTACAATATTTTGGAGCAGGTAAGGTCAGTAAGAACTTTCTTTTGTGAAACTACCAGTCTATAATTCTGAATGAAAAGAAGAGTAGAAGAAAAATGCGGTAAACCTCTTTCCAGCTGTCCTGTTTCTCCGGCTCCTAATGGGCTTATGAAATGTTCTGCAAGCTTCGTTGAAAATGCCAAGAAATATAAACAAACAAGCTCCCGAGTATAACAGGGCATATTTTATCGTAGCATCAGTTATCCTCTTGGTTTTCACTATTTATTCATTTACAAATAGAATGATTCGTGACTACTTATCGAATAACATTTTAATCTAAACAACAAAAGACAACGAAAAAATGAAACTTTATCTTTTGATGTTAAAAATTAATTCCTGCACCTATTATAGTTTACTCGTTTTGGGAAGACTTGATTGTTGTTGCTCGAGGGAATAACGGCTCTTTGGGTCAAAATAGCCGTTTGATAGGTCAGATCGTCCTATAATAGCCTACGCAACTACCAGGTCATAGGTTCCATGATTCGGACGCCACAGGAGCTCCCCGAATGCCTACCTAACAGACCAAGAGAGGTGAA